AACTCTATATCAGGGGAAGGGGGCAGGTATTTTTGTCTATGGCTTTCATTGTACTACTGATGATCCTTAACAGGAATTGTGTAGCATGGGTTGCAAGTGTTCACATTGCAACAAAAGTACGACTAAGTGGTTGTTACAGACTAACAGAAAATTGTAATTCTTGGATCCTCCCAAGAGGGATGTTCTTTTGGCTGCCTGTAGTGGAACTGCATTCATAGCGATTTCCAGATTCCGGTTCCTACTAACTCTGCCCTGTCTTGTAGACAAATCCCTTCCTACCCTCTGCCTGTCAACAGTTCCCCTGTACAATAAGACACCCACAACCCCCACAGACTTACCCAGGGGCAATACAATAAGAGATACACCACTCAGGGCCACTCCAGTGAGGGTCTGTGTGATAGCCAGCATGCTGTAGGACACAGAGGCAGCACTCAGCATTCCAAAACCAACAGAGCACACAAGCGACAGCTGGAGCACGGTCTTCTGTCCGAACCTGCCGCAAGCACAGTCTGGTTACAGTGGCTGGAAACCTGTCACAGGAGTAGGGTTTGAAAAGGGCAAACCAGACACTTCAGAGGAAGATTAAAATATTGCCTGCTCTGCAAAGAGTGCAAGATGCAACATCCCAGAGAAGAGGAAATGGCTCTGGATATAGCTGGTGCCACAGTGGTGCAATCCCATTTAGGGGGCCAGCCTACCCCAGGAGCATTGGGCATGGGCTGCTCCAGTGCAAAGAGCAGCAGTGGTCAGAAAAACAAATCAGGCTTCCCTGTTCAACACCGTCATCAAAAGCAGTGATGTCAGCTTGAAATCCCATGCTGCTGGCACACCCTGCTCCCGCCAATGTTTGTCCCCATGCCTGACTCAGCATGTCCTTCTCCCATGGTTCACTCAGACCAGCCATAGCCACCACTCTCAAGGAGGAGAGAGAATGATGACATTTTCACCCCACTCCTTGGAAGGAAAACAAAGGAACCCAAATGTCGGCCCACATATGCAGAATGAATCCAATTGTCAGCCCACATGTGCAGTCCTGACATTCCAAGGGTCTTTGAGGAATCTGCTAGGAGTTTGTTCCCCAAGGATTTTGGAAGCTGTAGTACTATCTTGCCAAGGTGCAGAGTCCTGTGCGGAGAGTGTGGAGAAATACAGAAAATCAAATACACACAAATGCACATGTATACACACAAATGCACATGTATACGCACACACATAGAGAAATATGTCTGCATGCATTTCTGCACAACCTATGAAAGTCTGAAAATCAAAATAGAGCACAAGATGCCAGTCTTCTGATGTATATCAGCACTGCATTTTAGGAAAGCTTGGGTTCAAGCTGGAGTAGTAAATGAAGCCTGTCAACAGGCAATGTTTGGTCTATAAGGACTGGAATCCTGCTCTGATTCTGGCATTAGGGCTCTCAGTGGCCACCTGAGAAAGATGGTGGCAAGAAGTATTGCTTTAGGGGAAAAAGTGGCGTGCCAGGACATAATGCCACAATAACATTCCTAAAGATAATCATAAATTACTTCATTCAGCAGCTGGCTAATGAATTTACTGGTGAAAAAACAACTCGTGGCTTGGCCCCAGGCAGTTTGCTGGATCTACTTTGAAATTTAGGCAGAACCAATGTGCAAACAACATTGTAATGCCCCTTTGTCAGAACGGGAAACACCTAGAAATACACCATAGCTGGATCCAGTTTCCAGTAGGGTAACCGCCTAAGAAAGAAGACACATTCTTAAATGAAGATTTTTTTTTTCCTTGAAAATACAGTTAGAAGGATATAAAACCATAAGGTTCCCTGCAAGATGCAAGGCAGCTATTTATGGAAACATTACTAGACTCTCTCAGCAAATGCACATCACCTGCTAGGGAAACCAGAGGCAAGCTGGCAGGATGGAATGGCAGGAGGGAGGCTGCTGTTAAAATTGTCTTCAAAGAGGGTGCTAGGAAAACATAACCTCTGAAAGGCTGTAAAAAATGCGATAAAAGGAGCAGACTGCACAAGCATAAAAATTAATAAAAAAGCCATTTTCATAAAAACCCCAGTATGTTAGTCTGCCAAAGCATCATAGAACCAATTCAGTACAAGAACAAGGTACAAAAGAAGTCTTTGGAAAAGGACAGACAATAACAGAAACAATACATATGTATTTTTGCTTTTATATGTTCATGATGAAGGTTGTTGGAGGGCTTACCAGGGTCAAATTTGTCAGTAAAGTTGTTCTCAAATCTAAATGTAAAGGGTTATTAAAACTGAGAGTGAACAGTATCAAAATGCCAGGACCAGACGGTTTTCACTTTGGAACACCAGACATGGAATCTCTGCCTTACTGTTAGCACGAAGAAGTGGAATCTCCATCAGAGAAAAGGAAGGTTGCTAATGGGAAGTCAGCTTTAAAGAGGTGTTAGGGCAGATGTGGAGCATGACATCTGAGGTGCAACAGATCTGTCAAATTTACTGCAAACTGACTGGGAACACTGCAGTTACATGGGCTGCAAATCTTTCCTGACCAGGAAAGCTCTGGTGAGCAGTGCACCCTCAGCTCTGCTCCAGGCTGCTCACGAGGACACAGTTGGCTGTCTAACCCTTGTTAACTGCCACGTGAGCAGACTGAAGGGTTCTGGTTCGACTAACTGGAAGTCCATCCATAACTTTGTCTTTTCTTGTTAGCTTCTCCAAATTTTCTCCATTTCTTCTGTATCCTTTGGAGATGAGGGAGGGGTGTGGAGGGAAATGAAAACTGCACGCAGCATTCAAGATGTGGGGCCACAATGCATTTACATGTTAGTGCATAGTGACATTCTCTTTAATTTTATATTCCTTTCCTTGTGATTCTTAATTTTCCACTTGCCTCCCCAGCCACTACTCATTGCTGTGTGGATGTTTGCCTAGAGCAAAACTGTGTTTGTCTGTCACAGCACCAAAGTCTTCCTCCTGAGTAGCTAAGGTCAGCTTAGGGCCTCCACTTTTAATGAGAAGTTAGAATAGTTTCTCTTTTTATTTTAAATTAATTTGCCCTGAAATTTTGTCTTCTGGTTTTCCTATCCAATCATAGAGTCCTTCTGCAATTCTCCACACTCAGATCTCATCATTAACAGCCTGGCCACTCAGCATCACCTCCCCACTGGCTCCTTTTCCAGACTATTTATAAATGTGCTGAAAAGCACACAAATCCAATCACTGGTCCCCACAGGTCTTCCTCCCTTGGTACGATGGAGCACCTACATGTCCTCTCTCCTTCCTAGCTTTTAATCAATTATTTAGTCATGCAGAGACCTTCCTTCTCATCCTAGGGCAACTCAGCTTCTTTAGGAACCTTTGATAAGGAGGCTTCTTAATGTTGTGTAGATGGTGTCTCAACTGTTCACATGTTTGTTAGTGCATGTGAAGAGATCCAGTGTGTCTGTAAGGCAGAGATCTTCTGAAAAAACCCTGCTGATTCTTTGCTAGTATGTTCTACCTACCCATGGGGCAGTGGCTCAGTCTTTCAGAGTATTTTCTGCCAGTTTGCCTGGAACAGACATATGTCAGGCTCCTTGGCATGTAGTTCCCAAGATCTTACTTGCAGACCAGTATAAAACTGATTTGAACATGATAGTCTCCCAGCCCTCTGCTGTGGAGGTCACACAATGCCAACAGGGTTCCAGCTTTCCCATCCCACAGGTGCTGTAGGGCTCCAGGATTACCACTCTCTGCTCCTGGCAGTTAATTGTCATTCACCTGGTGCATTTCTCTCTGCCTTCTTCTGTCAGCTTATTTCAAAGCTCCAGCTCCAACATCTGTCCCTACACATTCCCCCACTGTGAGAACAAACACATTTGTCTCACACTACAGTCTTTTTATTTCCAGATGCTCCTTTTATGCCTTAACCTTCTACTGGCTCTTCCTGCTCACAATCCATTTGAAAACCAAATTATTTTTCATTTTGTGCTAATGGAGACCTTCTTTCCTGCCTTAATTTTTCCTGACTCTGAATTTCTTGTCCTACAACTGTGCTATCAAAATATTTTAGATGCATAGCCAAGAGACACAGTTAGAAGATCATCTAGATGTCTTGGGTCCTTGTAAAAGTATACTCATATATTCATGTGCAAAGATGTGGATGCAAAAATTCCCATCTTCAGCACTGAGTCCCTGGGTGCTTCACACTGTGAAGGTGCTTTCCCTCTGCCATGATTTTGTAGCTTGCTGTACAGTAGAGTGTGCTTGCTACCAGAGGAAGGCAATTGGGAAGCAGTTTCCTGCCCGGGAAAAGCAATCATTAAATAATGAACAGTGCACCCGATTGCCTGCCTGTACTATGCATCCTCCAGTGGGTCTCCTGCTTCTGCTGTTTGCAAAAAATATGGAATTTCTTAATTGATGGCCTTTCTACGTTATTACTTGGATTTTTTCCCCCAGGTTTACATTGTCACATTCCAATACTTAGAGAGAGCGGATTTGTTCCTGTTTTCGTCATTGCCTCAGCTCTTAATGAGGAATGCCTCTCTGCTTGCAAGAACCTCCTTTACCCTGCTTCTCTAATAATGACAGTCAGGTTTTGCTTGCTGGAGACTCTTGAGCTATGGCATGCATTTGCTCTGAGCCCCTCACTTGAGTGTCATTAACCAATTCCTCTATAACTTGCAAGGAGTAAAGCTCTTCTAGTCTCTTCTTTCAGCTTTGTTTCAACCAGCCTTTTCCTCTCTTAGGCAGTTTTTTCCTGAAACTGGTCTTGCAGGCTGAATTTTTTTTTTGGTTTTTGCTGTTCCTTCTGCAATGCTGACCACAGTCAGCAATGTGTCTGACTCCTGATCAAGGCTGGAGCTGCTTCTCTTGTGGGTGGCTAAGTCACTGATCCCTGAAGCATTTACCCCCTGCATTGCTTCCCAGTATGACTTTAATCCAGTTTTCAAGTGAGAGGCTGGATTCTCCCTTTATGACTGTCTTTTCTCAATTCTCTGCCCCTCTGATTGCCTATTGCAGGCCACAAGTTTGTGAAATTCTTGCCATGAAACTGAGGGCCTAGAGGAACAGCCTGAAAGGGGTCAAACCTGTCAGAAAGGTATCCAAACACCATGGCCCCTGTTGTAATGCCAATGAAGAAGATGGTTGCTGTCACCTGGTTCAGTCCACGCTGCTCACACACAAGGTCCCACTGAAACACAGGGCCAAAATGACACTTAGTGCTCAGTTCAGTCTCCACTGCCTTTGCACAGCCCTTCCCTCCGGTGGTCAGCCATTTATATCCACCAAATCTGAATGAGGAGTAGAATCCTGCACTAAACAGCACATAGGACAGTCTCAGAGTCCTGAAAAATGTAAAGTTGCATCTTACAAAAGTCCCAGTTATCTATCCCCACTGTGACAGCCTCTCTGTGAACACCTGTTGGGCATCAGAACACTTTCCTGGGTACCACTTATGGAGAGGTCCCCTTTTTTCATCTCCTGCCCCCTGCAGTACCTGTTCTCGACCTGCCCAGGTTCACATCACACACAGTTCCCTCTGTCATGCCTCTGAGACTGCTCTGGGGAGATGGGCATTTGCAGGGTGCCCCACTGCAGTGAGCTGTAACACGTGCCTCAGCCTGCGTTAGGGAATGTGCTGGTGCAACCCAGTTTGTTGCCCTGACCAGTTTCTTTTGAAGTTGTCTGTGCAGGGAGGAAGGAGGGTAGAGGGGAAGTGAGACCAAATACTTGCTCTTAATGCTGACTTGTTGATTTCTTATTAAGAATTTAGTTTAGACATTTGTCCTAATTATGTTAATGAACATAATTTTACATTCTTGGAGGTGCAAATGTCACTAATCATTACAGAATGCTGTGGCACAACTGCAGAGTTAGTTTTCTTTATGTGCAAATTTGGCAAAACTTAATTTAATCATCAACCCATCATCACAAGCTCTCTGACAAGGCCATCCAGACCCTGAACAACCTTTCTTGCTGCAAAAGTAAGAGATTCCAGAGAAAGCTTTGGCCCCTTGAACAGGTCCTGAGGCCACTACACCACGGGAGCAGCATCACGAGGCTCCATGGTGCAGAGTACCTCCTTCTGCCCTTTCCCCCAAGACTGCTTTACATCTTTCTCCCTGAAACACTGCAGAAATGAGGTACAGACCCAGTGCACATCTGACCCTCACCTCCATACCTGCTGAAAGCAGGAGTGGTTGGATGGTGGGAAGGCGACACCAGCTCTAGGCTAAGACTAGTCCCTGCTCGTACTGAGACAGTTAACACTAGAATTTCCAACCCAACTGTGCCCCTTTTTCCTGCACAAATTGTCCCCTTTCCTAAGACCTTGTGCTATTTGGGCCATTTTTCAAAGAAAGTAAAGCATTAGCACTGTTAGCCCTGGATAAGTGTTTCAGAAGGCAGGTGGTAAATATTTGATGGACAGGGACCTTGGGCAGGCTCAGGGTTATGGCTGGCTAGCAGGCTGCACCTCAGAGGGCATGTTTGATTTGACAGCAAGAGACATTGCTGGTAATATAAGAGAGGCAGCACAACATTGGGGGAAGAGGAGGAAAACATAGATGGGTGAGGAGGGATGGGCAAGGGAACAGAAGTTACAAAGTATTTGGAAAACTAAGAATGGAAGTAATGGGCTCCTATGAAATCCTGATGGGGTGCAAACGCCATGTGGGCCATACAGAGAAAATCCTGGATCTGTGTGTATCTCTGCCCCCCTCCCAGAGCTCTCTATCTGGAGAAATTTAGATGATTCTAGCAAAAAGTGTTGGCTTCCAACTATCATTCTAAGCAAGACGAGATGCTCAAAATAATGATAATGATATTGGCAATGATGATGATGATGATAATAACTACAACAACACAACAACATCAGTTTCCCCCTCACAGGACATCTTCTCTAAACAGGTCATGTCAGCTGGTTACAATGCAAAGATTGCTCTCTGATTCTGTGCACCTAGCAAACACCTCTCCATCTGCTCCCCAAAGTACTGAACCACTTCATTTTTGGCTGGATCACAAGTCAGGTATTACCTGGGTGGAGATGGTGGAGGTGAACTGCGAGTAGTCATAGACCCATCCATGCTGGCAGTGCTGGATGATGGATTTGTTTTCTGGTTGCAGAGAGGAATTGAGCAGCAGATGAAACTGAGGCTGTGAGAACATCTCACAGGACCTGAAAGTGGCATCAGGCTCCCGGGGGATGCTGATGAGTAGAACTTCCTCTGTGGTGAGATTCACAATTCCCTCTTGGTGTGGAATTGCACAGTGATGAGAGGGGGTAGCAGCAAGAAAATTGTGCAGTAGGAAATGCATGGGAAGGTTGATTCTTGGGAGGCAAAGGATAGCCAAAATAAAAATCTGGAATCTGCCAAACCCCCCCAGTTTCCAGCAAGAGATCCTCAAATTTCATCTTTCCTGTGGAGTTTGTTCATTCAGAACAGCTATGTACCAAGGAGCAGGCAACATGAGCTTGAAAAGCAGCCTCTGTTCTCAGAGCTTAGCTTCCCATGGCTTTTCATACAGCCACTTCATTGGACTTTGAGACCTTGCTCAAAGGTGTCAAAAGTCACAGTGAGACTCTCCATTTGGGGTAGAGCCACAGGAATTATCCTGTGTGCACACAACACATCCATTTCAAATGGATCCAGCACAAGGCACTTCTCTTTTTGGAGTCCTTTCTCCTGCTGTGGTTTTTGAGAGGCGCATCCACACTAGGAATGGAGGCTGTGGAAAGAGGGCTGTGAGAGCACTGTCTTCTCTAGTGTAGGGGTACCATGCAACATCCCAGACACTGCAACAAGCTATGCCTAGTCTCAGCTGGTCACCAGCCAAACCCACTGTGTTGGGACACCCAGGGACACCGAAAACTAGTTGCTGTGCATCAGCTAAGTGTGTTTTAGTGTGGTTTGTGTCAAGTCATGACCTGGAAGCAGGGAATATGGAGAGGCTGAGAGGGCACCCAGAAAGGACCGAAGTCTTTGGATGAATACAAACCTCTGGGATGAAAGGGTGGGCTGTGGGTGAAGGTTTCCTGCTCACCAGTGTCCTCCAAAGGATGGAAAAAGTGAAAATGTTTCCCCATGAAGTCCTTTTCTCCAGCTGGGAAAGTGTTTCCCCAAGACACACACAAGGAAGTGATGAGAGCTGCAGTGCTGGTATGCAGAGAGGCTGTGCCTGCCATGCTGAGGGCCATGACATACTCCTGCAGGGTGCAGCCCTGTGCTGCCGTGCTCTGGGGACCAATGTGACAGCCAAAGGAGTGAATGTGCAGCCACAGGTATTGCTGCCACAGGGCCACAGGTATTGCTGCCACCATTGTACGGGCCTGGTGATGAGATCAGGGCAGTTGAATACAAAGCAGTAGAAAATGGGCTCTATGCTGACTCTGCCTGGGGACCCTGCAGAACCCTTTCCTGCAAACCCCTTAACACCTTTGCTACACCTGGGTATGAGACATGGGCCTGCTTCCCTTGCAGCAAGTGCCCTATGCAGCCCCTGGGGATAGCATCCCAGATGGTTGTGTCCCACATTCAGGGACCAGTGCATCATACACCTAGCAGGGGCAGCAATCTTCAAAGGCCACAACCCCTTTGCAGGGTGCATGTGAAGAAGTAGCAGCAGTGAAGTTGCTGAGAGCGTGCTGTGGGTTATCTTCCACTGTATTTTCACACTCTGTAGCTCTCTCCACGCAGTCTGTGCCCTCCCTCCTCCACCAACCCTGCAAAACTGGAGCTGCTTTAAAACAAAGCATGTCCTAGGACAGTAGTTTGGCTATTCACCTGGAAAGCAGGGATGTTTGGTGTTGGGATGCAGGTGCATCCAGAGGCTGGGCACAGGTAAAGTACAAGTGGTGCTGGCTGTCAGGTGCTGCTGAGAGCTGCCTGCCTGCACTGCCTGGGCCGAGGATGGCCTGCCCCCTGCTCTGCAGCAAAGGCTAGTGAGAAGGGGCTGCAGAGTAGGAGACAGAGACGAGGAGATCCACAAAAGCTTTTCACAAGGCTCCTGCTGTGGCTGAATGCCCAGACTGAGTGTTGCCCAGATGTTAAGTGCTATAAGGGCACAGAGCAGAATAGCACCACATGTTCATGCTCACAAGGGAAAGGATGCCATGCTGTGACCTTAGGAAATCTTTCCTCTTTAGAGCAGCATTCCTGGTCACCCATGCTTAACTAATGTGCTGCCACAGTCTTTGCTATGAACCATTTCGGTGCTCATGCTGGGACGAGCATGAAGGAAGTACACAGGAGTGAAGCAGGGACACCTGACAATGCTGTGCCCCCAGGTTTACAGTTTAAGCTGAAGCTGAACTAAAGGACAAGTTACCTTTCTTCACCACTGGTCTTCTAAGACCAAGGAACAAAAACTCTCATTGATATGCTGCTGTATATTTAAACTGCAAAGCAGCTTCAGCCTTCCCATCAGAAATGAGGTTATGGATCATTGCTCTGCAACTCCTGGGGCTCTGGTGTTCATATTGCAATGGCTTAAAATGTGCACTGCTTTATTTCTCTAACCCAAATGTGTTTGGTTTAACCAGTCACCGGCTTTAGTTAATGACCACCACGTGTGCAAATGCTGTGACCAACTGCCGATTGGTTAATTAGCCCCAGGACCTGACTCGAACAGCTTGGACATGCCTGGCAGCAATGAGAGTGGGCAGACTCCTTTCCTGCTGCTTTCGTGTATAAAGCTGTGTACATGTGTACAACTTTCGTATGCAATCTTTCTTTCTTCTCCTTTTCAGGATGCCAACTACTTGTTGAGAGGATAGATTATTAAATGACTTGGTCACTAATGTGTTAGCTTTCCTGTTTCCAGCAGTAATTTCCTAACACCTTCTATGGAACTGTAACAGCCTGGATGGTGAAAGGAGAGAAGGAGCTGATTTTCTCCTTTGGCAGTGAAGCCATCCCACAGGTGTCTCAGCTGCTGCAGAGTAGCTGGAGATCTGATCAGTTCTTGCAGATTGGTGCTTAAATGACCATTTTCTTCTATGGGAAAGCTGCAGATCCTGAAATCCTACCTTCCCTCCAAGTTATGCCTGACTGCCATGAAAACGTGTCCATCAGAGCCACTGAGCTAGACTAACCTTGCTCTCAGAGGACAGAAGTGTCCCCTTCTAACTGCAGCTCAGTGCAGGCTCTGATGCCTATGGGAGGGAGGTGTGGAACATGCTGGGAGTCTCCATTTTTTCTATCATTTGCAAAGGCAGTTTGGACAGGGAAGTCCTACAAAGCTGGCAAAGTCAGCTAAGGATGCCTGCAGTGCCAATCTCAGGTGCACCTCCCTGCAGCAGTGTCCGAACGCTCTGGGCAGGATGTGTGCCCACCACATTTTGTAGCTTGGTCAGAGAAAGTGGAGGAGCCACCAACAAAGAGGTCCTGGGGCTTCTGGAAATCTCTGGTGTTAGAAGAAAGCCATTCTGACTTTGTGCCACATTGATGAGACTCTTCTACTTTCCATTGCTTGCTGTTGTCTTGTGTGCAGTCATTTCACTCAATTGCCCAAACAAATGACTACTATTTTGTAAGTAAACTGGTTCTGGCCAAAGCTTCTTTTCTTGTCTGTCATAAATATGAACATCAATCCTGTCTTAATGTGAAGGGATGTGACCCAGTTCTACAGCTTCCACAGCCAGCACTTGCATCCTTTTTGCTTCCTAGCCAGATCCCCCAGACCTGTCTTGTGTCCCTTCCTACTCCTTCACCTATCTCAGGGAACTATTTCCTTGGTGTTTTCATCTCACCAGTGCTGTTGGGAGATTGTAGCAGGGCAGAGAATCAGCCTAGATTATTAGGCTGTGTTTTACTGAGGGAAGGGCAAACCCAAGCTCCTACTTCAACCAGAGAAAGACTCAGCAGGAGCAGGAAGTCCAGGCAGGATCACATGTTGTCTGATATAATCTGATTAAATCAGTCTCACTTGGACAGGATAGTTGTGTGTGAAGTAAAACATTGCCAGGGAGCTCAAAAAATACACCCACTGCTTCAGGGAGCAGCACAAGTACGGGATGAGCTGGGAGCTGTGGAGACTCCAGTGCTGGCTGTGCCCTTCCCAACAGGGCACATTCCTGGCATGGCTGGCAGAGCCATGGGTGGGACAGGGTCGGTCAACAGCTCCAGATGCAGTGAAAGGATGAACCAGGACCAGAGACCCTGCAGGGAGTCTGGTCTGCAGCAGGAGGAGGGGCTGGAGACAAAGCTACAAGGCAGGTATGCAGCAGCCAGGGCAGGAGACAGGGGCACACCTAATGCAGCTCAAACAGGGATGGGAGACAGGACTGAGCATAAATGAGGTCCTGGGCCACAAGCAGAAAGTGCATGGGTGGCAGGTACAGGGCACTTAGCAGCCGTTAGCACCCTTGAGCAGACTGTATCTGAAGTGAAGGGCTAGGGGGTTTGCATCCAAAAGTGTGGAATGCTGCCCAGGGAGCCTGGACTAGGCTTTAGCACTGGCTGGAACAGTATTTTTGGAAAGCCTGTGCAGAAAGTAAAGGTGTAGAAGTGAAAGTACACACAGTCACACACTTCCACTGGAGACTGGATGCTGAGAGTGATATGCAGGTAATTACTGAGTGGGTGAAGCAAGGGCTAATGATCACCCTAACGGTGTTTCTCTGTCGATGTGGCTGTATGCTCATCATGTCCCAGCAGCTCTACAGATCCGTGCTGCACTTCTCCCCCTCCCAGGCCATTCCCAATGGGTTCTTCTCCAAATGGGGTAAAGAGAAGCTGCAGAGCATCCAGAGAAGCTGCCTTCACCATACAACACTGCACCTTCACTATTCAAACTGTTCCACCTTCCTTCACTGATCATCTTCCTCCACTAATTACTTTTATTCCACTAACTTTCTCTTTTAAATCTAAGCATCCCCTAGCTCCTATCTTAGGTGACCAAGACTTCAGTTTTGATTTTTCTGCCCTGTGTTTGAGTAGGGATCCTCTGCACTTTGCAGTTTGAGAAATACAGAACTGACTCAGGCTTTGACCCCTTGAATCAATAATAAACTCACCCAATACTCCATCTCCAACTGGCAAGACACGTGGGAAGGTAGGAACAGAACATCTAGTATTGCTTTCCAGGTGATCTTCTTGCTTCCAACCTATTCCTTGCTTGAAGATGCAGTTTGTGTGACTCCTCCTGTTAGATGCACTGTCCCAAACCAGATGCTTATTGACAGCTTTCAATTTACATATATGCTTTGGGTTAAAATTCCAACATAATAATGTCTGGATCTGCAGCCATGGCTCCTTTTTAGCCACCATCCTCCAGGGATAGGTCCTGGGAATTTGATTTGGTTAGTTTGCTTTCAGTGTAGGATGAACTCCTCAGCTGCTGCTGTGCTCTGCACCTCCACCCCAGCCTCAGAGGCTTGGGGGCCACTTGTGCAGGCTCCCCCAGTGGGAGCAGCCTCAGGCTAGAGGAAGAGACCTCCACAGGTCTGTTCCAGCCTGAATTATGCTATGGGACTATGAACATTATACCACAAGGC